GTTGTTTTGTTGCCCTCCTACTGTCAATTTTACTCATGAAATAAATGTTCTTGCACAATTAGGCCACTAACTAAATGTAATGTGGCATGTCCCTTGTTGGTTCTAGGAACAAATGAACATAGGAACAGGCATAGGCCAATCAGCCCATTTAGCCTGACCAATACAATCATGACTGCTCAAACACTTCAATGCCTGTTATTCACTCCATCCCCATAACCTTCTGCACTAATCAGAAATCTATCAATCTCTTAAATATATTCAAAGACTGAGCCTCTAGTGGTTCATAACCATCTAATTAAAATAATTTTCCCTCGTTTCGGACTTAAGTGACGTCCCCTTATTTTTAAATTAAGCTTCCAGTTTAGATTCCCCAAGTAGGGGAAACATCTCACATGCATCTACTCTTTCTATGCCTTTAAACATTTTGTAAGTTTGAATGAGATCATCTTTCATTCTTTGGAACTAAACGATACAGGTCAATCTCTCTTCATAGGATGGCTCCACCTTCCTGCGATCAAGTCTGGTGAACTTTCCTGACCCCTCACCTGAGATATGATGACTCTCAGGTTAAACCACCACCAGTCATGTCTCTGTAATAAGAGACCTGTCCAATGGCCCAGTAGAACAATGGTGACATTCTCTTTTTATATTTTACTTATGGCAATAATATTTTTCCTGAGATAATAAGATTAAAAACTGCACAGTACTCCAGGTTTGGTCTAACCAAGCTCTATACAATTGAAACAAGTCTTCACTACTCCTGTACTCGGAATGTCCTAGGATATACTGTTACAGAAAATTATCCTGAATACAATCAAGAAATTTTGCACCTTTCTGACTAACTGACCATTTTGTAAGAAAGTTAAAATGCACAATCAAACCATTGTGCTTTTCCTATACTTGTTTCATCTCTGCATTGATACAACTTACTATTTCACTGCTGCTACTAGGGCCATTACAGAATTCCTGTTACTGAGATGTTGCCATGAGTGATGTTTGGGTAATCACATTCCAGCTTGAAGAAATGAGAACTTGTTGGATTCTTGCAGGCTGTTTGTAGGAAGAGGCCCTGATCGGGCAATTTTTAGTATCTTGCGCCCATGGGTGTTTAACATTTGAGCAAAGACAATGGGAAACCTTCCCCAACTGACTGAGTGCTACCCACGAACAACTTCACTTTCTCCACGAATACCTCAGGAACCAGGTACTGCCCTGTAGCGTGAAGTACATACCTCCACTCAACTCACAGGCACACAAAATAGCTGAACAGAACGGACTTGGCATGGTACTGGTAATGTTTAATCGTGCCCATAACCGACTCTACAAGTACGAATAGGAAATTTCACACCAAAAATCACAGTAGCTAAACACTACAGGCCATCACCATCAATCAACACAAGACCAAAACTAAGAAGAGACAGGTGCTACAGGAGAAACTTACCAAACTGATCCACCACAAAGACAAGGACAACAACAAACCGGACACACGGATAAAGAAAGCTACCCAGCAGACCACTTGCAGAAACTCAGAAAGCTGTCCTATTACGTGGACTGAACTATAACCACAAAGACGCGAACACAACAGATTTATTGGCCGCCCTGGAAACCACATTAAAAGACAACAGACTTACAGATGAAACACAACAAGCCATCCGACAAACTATAATCCCCACACTAAGCCGAAGGAACAAATAGGACACCCTGAACGCATCAGAGAGAAAAGCACTAAATGAACTCAAGAAAGACAAGAATATTATAATCCTACCAGAGGACAAAGGGTGTATGACCGTCATTATGAACAAACTGGACGACGTTGAGAAAGCATACGCATTGCTTGCAGATACAAACACCTACCAACAGGTGGCGATAGACCCAACACTGCAGCTAGGTAATAGGATCACCGGATACTGAAGAGACTAAAGGATGCAGATCAGATAACCAAGACAGACAAGCAGAAGGCACGAACATCCCCGCTTCTGTGGACTTCCTAATGTACTCAAACCCGACATCCCCCTCGGACCCATTGTCTCCCTACTGGGCACACCTTCACAAAAACTGGCCAAGGACCTACAACAGAAGCTGAAACATCTAGTTAACGGATCACCCCATTCCATCCACTCAACCCAAGAATTCCTCAAGAATGTAAAAATCAGTAATGATGAGATTATGGTATCCTTTGACGTCACAGCATTATTCACGTCAATTCATATCCCACCAGCCAAAGAAATACTGGCCACATTACTAGACAAAGCAGGAATGCAGACCAGCAGCTCCATCAGCAATGACAACATACTGAAACTACTAGACTTGTGCCTCACCACAAACTTCATCTTTAATGGTTAAGTATACAAACAGATCAATGGCACACCAGTGGGGTCACCCATCTCGGGACTATCGCAGAGGCAGTCATGCAAAGACTAGAACACACTACCCTCCCCCACATTCAATCTAAACTGTGGATCTGGTACATGGATGACATTTATCATTATTAAACGCACCAAACTAGAAGAGACTCACCACCTCATCAACATATTTGCTGGCATTAAATTCACAAGAGGAGAAGAAGAAAACAACAATCGGCTTCCGTTTTTGGACATCAGAGTTGAACGTATGACCAATGGGGAGTTCCAAACCTCAGTAATACAGGAAAGCAACCCACACTGATCAAATCCTCAGCTTCCACAACAACCACCCCAACATCCACAAACAAAGCTGTAATAGGACACCACTTAGTCGGGCCACCACTCACTGCAACACGCCAGGACCACGTAGGAAAGTGGAAGAGCACCTATACAAAATCTTCGCTATGAACGGATATCCCCGCAACCTCATCCACAGGTGCCCACTAAATAGACAACAACCCTAACACACTGGCCACACTGCCCTACATCAAGAATATAATAGAACTGACAATGAGACTCCTATGACCACTAGGAATCATGGTAGCACACAAGCCACAACCACTCAACGACAAACACTCTCAAAGACGAAAGACCCCATTCCCACAACATGCAGAACCAATATAGTTTACAAAATACCATGCAACGACTGTCACAAGCATTACATCGGACAGACAGAAAGGAAACTAGCCATCAGAATACACGATCATCAGCTAGCAGCAAAATGACACAATGAACTCTCCTTAATATCGATACACTCAGACAATGAAGGCCATCAGTTTAACTGGGACAATGTAACCATAGTAGCCCAAGCCAAGCATAGACATGCACGGGAATTCCTAGAGGCATGGTTCTCAACCCATAATGCAATCAACAAACATATAGAGTTGGACCCCATATACAAACCCGTACAGAACAAAACTGGAAATGACACCACTCACCATAACAGACCAGACAGTATAAATTCCAAGAGGAGTAGAACAACATCGCTTCATCGGAGGGCACACTAATGTTAAGTTCTGAACAAAAACAAGCCAGCTCAGTGAGCACGTCAGCAACCTCACCCACAACCAAAGCTACAAATCTTTGCTAAAACCTCAAACATATTTTTATTTCTAACTGAATTTTCACTAATGCTAATAATGACAACTCAAGAGATAACAAGGTGTAGAGCTGGATGAACACAGCAGGCCAAGCAGCATCACAGGAGCAGGAAAGCTGACGTTTTGGGCCTAGACACCTCAAGTTCAGTTAGTCTATTTTTAATTCTAAGCCCTGGATAATTACCTTAAGTATCCCATGCTTGTGAAATTTTGCTTTTATTTCTTATCTGTTAACTTTCTCAGTTTATCCTTAGCTAACGTTTCTATGAATCTACTTATGTCTTCTACTCCCAGAAACGTCTAACCAAAACCATTTTGAAATTATAATCCATGTAAAAATTTCACAAATTACTCCTGTTTTCTAGTATCTATAAATTATCATTTCTTTAGAAGAGACATCTATTCCTGTTAATATTCAATGTTACCCTTCCTACAAAAGCCCTCATTTTTCTCTGATCCCAGCTGATTGTCATACTAAGCAAGTCAGATCTGCAATGGAAACCTGACTTATTTGATCATAAGTTTGATTTTTGCGTTGGTTATCATGGTGGTTAGTCACTGAAATATGTTCACGCAAAACTGCAAAGATTCAGTAACAAAATAACAAGCTTATTATACAGCAGGAAAAAGAAACGAACAAAGTTTTCTATATGGAACGGTTAGAAAGAGATTAACGTAAGTGTAAAGCGAAGCTTCTATTTGTTTCCTCACTCTGTTACAGATAAACAAATCCCAGAGAAATATCACTCCTATCTTAACTCATTAATTTCTTACAAATACGACTCTGTCTAGCTTTCCTAGGGCTGCTGAGATAGTTTAATGACTTATTTCCAGTCTCCCTCTTGGACTGCTGGCCTAAACCGGCAATATGAAACTTGGGTACAAATTCTCACAGCTTGAAGATTTCACAAACTAAAACCCTTCTGCTAAGGAGAAAACTCTCTCTCCTGTCTGAAATTTGTTCATTCTGCACTGAAGCCAAAGACCAAACTGAAATAGTCTGCTTTCTCTATTTGTTGCAAACTCAGCAGGACAGGCATTCTATCAATTAACACAGCAGGTACCTGTTAGGTACTTGACTAAACCACGTGCTTTCTTGGAAAGGATATGTTTAGTTCACTGTTCCAAATTACTTTGTGACTTTTTTTTTAAAAAAAGACCTTCACAGTACTGAAACCAAAACCTTTATTTTAAAAATCTGCACTTTATAGTGGATAATAACATATTATTCGTGCTTACCTTATTACTTAGCCAACATTTGCAATGCAAGTGTAACAAGAATATTGTACTTGTGGTGAAAATGTAAGAAGTTGTTGTAGCTTATAGCAAAAACAAGCAGTACAGCAGTAATGGATGACAATCATAAGATTTTATAGCCATATCTGAATCTATCTTATAGATATAAATATGCCTTTTGTTACCTGATAACGTGTCCAGAACATTCTCTGAAAAATCTATGTCCTGTTTATTTTATGCTGGGAATTCTGATTTTGTGTAGTGTGACAGAGGTGAAAACAGCAGACTCCAAAAGACTGGAAAGCCAGGTAAGCTCAGAAAACATAGCTCATTGGGTGAGGATGAAGAGGATCTGAAAATGAAAGCAACGAAGAAGGCCCTGCAGGAACAGGTATTGAGATCTATGGAACTTGCTTGTCTGGCCATGTTGAACCATTGTATATTTATATTTTTCAAAAGAAAATTTATGAAGTTTGATATTGTTCAACTTGTAAACCAACCAGAACTGCACTGGATGGGGTGGAGGAGAAAGTACTTATTATCATATATAATATAATATAATATAATATAATATAATATAATATAATATAATATAATATAATATAATATAATATAATAAAATACCATACTTTCCTGTTCAACTAAATTGTGGACGGCTTAATGGTGCAAAAATTTGTATCTAGATGTGAGACGGTAAGAACTGTCGATGCTGGAGTCTGAGATAACACAGTGTGGAGCTGGAGGAACACAGCGGGCCAGGCAGCATCACAGGAGCAGGAAAGCTGATGTTTCAGGTCGAGACCCTTCTTCAGAAATGGGGGAGGGGGAAGGGGGCTCTGAAATAAATAGAGAGGGAGGGGGTCCAATGGTCTCAATGTGGACTTTACTAGCTTCAAAATCTCCCCACCCCCGGCCTCATCCCATGACCAACCCTCCCTCTCGTCCCTGCCTCCTTGACCTGTCCGTCTTCTCACCCAACTATCCGCTTTTCCCACCTCACTGACCAATCCCTACCACTACCTACCTGCACTCGCCTATCGCCATCCCACCTAGCTCCTCTGTCTATTTATTTCAGAGCCCCCCCCCCCCCCCCCCCATTTCTGAAGAAGGGTCCTGACCCGAAACGTCAACTTTCCTGCTCTTCTGATGCTGCCTGGCCTGCTGTGTTCCTCCAGTTCCACACTGTTATCTTGTATTTAAATGTGTCTATCCTGCTAAGGTCTAACGCTCAAAGGAGAAAATCCGTCCCCAGTGAAATTGAAGACTTCGGAGGAAATGCTTTCAATGTACACTTTTAGCAGGTTATCTACCCTGTCAACAAAATATATATGAAAATGGTCTGTTACTAGCATCCTTAACATAACTGGAGCACCATTTTACTTGCTGTGCAGCCAACAGTATAATTAATTGCTGTCAGCTTGTATAATATCATGACAATACTTAAAATATATCACATTTTGTATCAGACATAATACAGATACAATCGTTTGGTAGTGCAGGACTTGAGCATTGCTGAGAAAACACTTTTTTTTTGAAGCTTTCTATCTTACACTCATCAGGACGTTTTGCAAGAATACCAAATCAAATATTTAGATTTCTTGAGAATAGAGTGCTGATTAGCTGCAAGTGGGCTTTGATTGGTAGAGGCATTGCCATGGAGAATACACTTATTAATTATGATTGACTGTTAACAGCCAAGCAGGCTTAAAATTTAAACATATCTTTTTCATTAAAATATTCAATCATGAGATGTGGGCATCATTGGCTGAGCCAGCATTTAGGACCCATCCCCTATTGCTCTTGAATAGAATGGTCTGCTAGGCCATTTCATGCAGTTAAGAGTCATCCACATTTCCGTGGGTCTGGAGTCTGACTAGGGAAGGATGGCAGATTTCCTTCCCTAAAGGATATCCTTAAATAAGATGGATGTTTACAACAATTAACAGTGGTTATGTGGTCGCTGTTAGATTAGCTTTTAATTCCAGAGTTTTATTTGAACACAAATTTCACCATCAGCCATGGTTAGATTCAAACACGTGGACATAGAACGTTAGCCTGTGACTCTGAGTTACGAGTCTAGTGACATTACTTCGAAATGACAGCCTGCAAAATCCTGAATATCAAAAACGTCCTGATAAGTGCAAAATGAAAAGCTTTAACAAATGTGTCTTTTTCCAGCTATACGGATGCAAACATTAAGAATAGATTTAGGTAAAGTATCTAATAAAGATGAAAGACAGTTTCATCTGACTTCAAATAGGGGCAAAAGGAGGGGTCTTTGATTATGTTGTATAATGAGTTGTATAATATTATGAGGGGCACAGATAGAGTAGACAGGAAGGAACTTTTCCCTTTACAGAGGAATTAATGACTGGGGGCACAGATTTAATGGAAGGAGCAGCAGTTTAGTGGTGATGTGAGGAAAAACTATTTCACCCGGGGATAGTGGGAATCTGGAACCCACTGCCTGTAAGGATGGTAGAGACAGAAACCCGCATAACATTTAATAAGTGTTTAGATGTGCACTTGTGATGCCGATGCACAAAATGCTATGGGCCAAGTGCTGGAAAATGGGAGTAGAATATTTAGGTGGTTAGTTTTGACTGGCGCAGATTCGAAAAGCCTTTTTCTGTGCTATTGACCACTATGACAACGGTCGCAAAACTAACCAATCCTTAAACATGTCGGGACTATTTCAGATCTTCTAAGTTTTGAATAGTGAAGTTGAGTTAATTTCTATTGCTCAACATAATTTCAGTTAAAGATGAGCAGAACCTTAATGAACATCATATTTGTAAAAATTTCTATTTAAGTCTGTATCCCTTAGACTTAAACAGAGGTAAGGATTATACTGGGGAAATGGCCAGAGCAAGAGAGTAATGGTTTTGGTAGGGTCTAGAATATCCAAGGTGGAGGTGAATTAATAGCTGTAGAAAAGTTATGGTGAATGGAAGGCTAATGCTAATGTTACAGAAAAACTCTGGTTCCCAATTCATTTGTTTTAGAATACAACATTTCAGTTTTTGGAAGTAGACTTTCAAATTCGAGATAAATTGAGGCATTTGATTGAGAAACTAATGAATAACCCTGAGGTAAATGCAAATCAAACAAACTTGGAGTTAATTACCATGAAAAGCTAATCTATATTTATCTGCAAGGTCAGATTAAGAAGTGTGAATATTGAGCCATTTTTAAACCTCTTAGTAGAGCTGGGATGACTATTGCTATCTCTGTAGAAACCAAAAGCAAGCATTTCTAAGAATGAGCATCGTAAAAGTCCATTAAAGATTAGAAATATGGTTTATAGGATTAAACAGCTGTCTTGAAAGTAATGTAATTGTTTGTGTGTCTGTTTGAATCATCCAAAAACATACCATTTTGCCATGTATTTAGCAATTCCGGGTGAAGGTTTGCAATATCTAGACGGGTCATTCTCTCATAAAGGGAAAATAGCCGGACAATTTTTTTTGTAGTTGACAGATAGTGGAAGAACTCCACAGGATCCTCACAGAAGATTGTCACATACAATGGCATAGTTAGCCGGGAAAGTGGGAAGACAGTTGGGTTTCTGCTGGTAACCCAAACAAGGACCTAAGACATCCACAGTCACAAGTCTATAAGGAAAGACAGAGGGTTGCATAACCAAAGAAACTAATGGAAACATTTCCATGGCATTTTGTTTCAGAGGATAGCTGGAACACTGAGGAGAATTAAAGTGAAATTGACAGAGCTGTTGCATACTTTTGGGTTGGATCCAGGAAAAGTGGATGAACCTTCAAGGTTCTGTAAGATTAGGAAACATTTAGAGTATAGTCAAATGTAGAACTAAATTTGTAGCTTTGGTCTTTACCATTCGTTTTGTTAAATTAATGATATTTTATGTCATTTCTCTTCATATATGCTAGTTTGCTTTTGTTTAAAAATATGAAATCTTGTGGAATAATTTTGTCAGTTCATTGCCAGGTGTTTAGATTTTGTCTATAAGTACCAATGATGCCTGACAGGATCATAATACCAGTGAGTTTGAGATTATGAAAGTGACATTGCAAGTGAATTTGGAGAGTGCCCTTCCCAAGGACAGATGCAGTTTAAAAAAAAAAGTGAGATTGAAAGTATGAAGGGCATGTGGGTGGGCAGTGATGCAAGGAAGGAATGAGAAATAGCTGTATATCAAATGATACAATGGGAGCAACAAGGCTGCATGAGATGGCAAAGTCAAAGAGATATCTGTGGATATGGGTTGGGGACTTTATATGGATGTGAGATTAAGAAAGGCCAGCAGGACATTTGAACTTGGAGAAAGGAACTCACGATGAATTGAAATGGAGGTTGAAACCACTCCGGATGAGAAGATGCTCATAGAGGGAAGCAATGAAGGTATCTTGATGAGAACATTTTCATGGCACTTGGGTAAACTGAACAAGGATTTTAAAAAAGAATGGTTGCCAATTTGTGAATCAAGCACCAACAACGCGCAATGGAACGTTCTTTATAATAAAAGGTTGCACAATGTGCACGTTCGTTTCTTGAAATCAACCACTTGCCTCCTCCAGCTGCTCCAACCCTTGAGAGTTTGTGAATGTTTAACTATATGTTCAGTTGTCACGATACCAGGAATTATGAACCATTTTGGTGTGAAATCATCCTTTTTTGTGCTGTATTTATCACATTATTAAACACGGTTTTTATTTCAAACTCATAGTTCTGGATTAATTGCCGAAAACGTGTGGAATTCATTATGTGCCAAAGCCGGCTTGTAAATGATGTGATTATTGCTTGTTATCTTAGCGCCATCTGGAGGTTTACAAGAATGTGCACAGGCTGCGTAATGTCATGCGTTTACAATATATGGATCTACTGAGCAAGAAAGTTCAACAGCAACGCCTTGTAATTAAACAACGAGACCTTCAGTTCCAGCGTAACATTGAGGAACAAGCGAAGAAACAGGTATGCATTTGTGAAGCATACGCTATAGCTGAGAATTTCTCACTTATCAGAATAACTTAGTCTTTGAGAGACACATTTGACTGTGTTGCAGGATTCTCATTAGGATTGAAGAAAATAACTAATGTCCATACTTGGACTGGAAACACGACTCAGCATTTGTTACTTCTGTGAAATAGCATAAATGCAGTTGATGTTAAAATTCTGTTATGTAAGAATCATGTCTCATGGTCTACGATTCGGATTTGGACGTGGAATCGGGATGGGGATTGAGATTGGATTGGTTTTGATTGGATATGAGATTTGGGTGTAGTTCGGTAAATAATACAGGTGAACAAAACACCAGGTTCTGTACAGCGCAGAGCTGGAGGAACACAGCAGGCGAGGCAGCATCAGAGAAGCAGGAAAGTTGACGTTTCGGGTCAGGATACTTCTTCTCCTGCTTCTGTGATGCTGCCTGGCCTGCTGTGTTCCTCCACACTCAGCACCGACTCCAGCACCTGCAGTTCTTGCTATCACCAGGTTCTGTGCAGCACTTAAGGCATGGTGGTGGAAACAGCAAAAGATTACCTGCAGGTGGCAGAGTTGTCACTGGCAGTTCCTAAAGGAAATTTCAAAACCGAAGTTGACTGATTTTGAGACAACAAGGTGCAGAGCTGGATGAACACAGCAGGCCAAGCAGCATCATAGGAGCAAAATGCTGCTTGGCCTGCTGTGTTCATCCAGTTCTGTACCTTGTTGTCTCGGATTCTCCAGCATCTGCAGTTCCTACTATCTATTGACTGATTTTGTTTTTTGCAGGAACCTGGAGATAGTATTGCCTAACAGAGCTAAAAGGACACAGATAATTGAGGTATTAGCATAGTACTTGGACTTATAGGAAATACAAGAGAGGACCAAATACCTCCTGTAGTGAAGTATCAGAAACGGTTGACATGCAGTTACAGCTGAAGAGACTGGAGCATGAGCAGTAAGTGAAGCAACTAGAAATGGCAGAAAAAGTTCAAGTGAGACCAAATTAAGAAACCAGGAAACAGAAAAGAGAAAATTTAGAAGTGCAAAGGGAAAAAGAAGAAAGGGCATGAATATAAGCTTAAAATAGCACAGCTGTAACAGGAGACATCAGGTGCTGATGCAGCTTCTGTTGGGGAGAATCTGAATCGTAATTTTAAGTCCAGTAAGGAAATGTTTAATGTTTAAGGAAATGCACAGGCCCTACTGAAGTTTGAGGAAGGGGATGTAGAGACATTTTTCATGTCATTTGAAAAAAATTGCTTGGCAAATGAGTTGGGCAAAAGAGAACTGGACATTACTCATGGAAAGTAAGTTGACAGCTAAAGAACAGGAAATTTACCCTTCACTTTCATGGGAGGTTTCTCAGAAGCATACAGCAGTGAAGCAACTCATACTGGCTGCATACGAGTTGGTGCCTGCGGCATGTAGGCATAGGTTCCATAATTGAAGGAAGCTGCCTGGGCAAACCTATATTGAATTTGAAAGAGTCAAGCAAAGTATTTTTAACAGGTGAATAAGAGCATTAGAAAGTGAAACCATGCGTTACGTGCTTAGAGTGGTTATTCTTTTATAGGAATTTAAAAACCCACTAGTTTCCATAATAAAAATTTGTGTTGAAGTCCAATGATTTGCAACTATTAGACAGGCAGCAAAAATGGCTGATGGTCTCAGTTAACTTTATCTTTGGTCCATCATCTTCATAAATTTGAAAGGGCTAGAAAATGGAAGACAAGTAGCCAAGGTAAGGAATGGATAGCTGGAAATACCCCAAATTCAAATTAGAAAGGATGGTACTGAGGGTGGAGGTGAAAATCGGAAGCCAAGGTATTTCCATTGTAATAATGTATGATATAGTTGTTGGAAATCCTGGAAGCTGAAAGAGAAACTCATGGGACTTGCTGAAGTTCATAGGAATGAGTCTGAAAAGAAAACTCAGAAGCAAAAGGTCACAGATCAGATTGTAGCTTTAACTACAGGTAAGAGAAAAGAGGTAGATGTCACAGTGTGCAGAAGAAGTACATAGGGTAGATGAGAGCCATGAAGGTTGTTTTTTCACTCTAAAGGGAAGATAACTCCTTTTTTCCTTCAAAGGAATAATCCAAACCCATAATTATACTAAGGATAGAGTGGTTGCTCAGACTGTCTTACTGGAGAAGGATTTAGATTACCCTGCAGAGAGTTAGCTGAAAGACAAAGTGTTGATGAATGGGCTAGGTGAGAATATAGGTGCGGAGCTAAAGGAACATAGCAGGCCAGGCAGCATCAGAGGAGCAGGAAAGCTGACATTTCAGGTCTGGACCCTTCTTCAGAAATGGGGGAGGGGAAGGGGGCACTGAAATAAATAGAGAGGGGAGCGGTGATAGAAGGTAGATAGTGGAGCAGAAAGGTGGGAGAGAAGACGGACAGATCAAGGAAGTGGGGATGAAGCTAGTAAAGGTGAGTGTAGGTAGGAAGTGGGGGTGGGGGTTGGTCAGTGAGGTGGGAGGAGCGGATAGATGGGAGAGAAGACAGACAGGCCAAGGAGGTGGAGATGAGAGGGGGAGCTGGTCTTGGGATGAGGTCGGGGTGAGGAGATTTTGAAGCTAGTAAAGTCCACATTGAGACCATTGGGTTGTAGGCTTCTCCTTGACCTGTCCGTCTTCTCTCCCACCTATCTGCTCCTCCCACCTCACTGACCAATGCCCACCCCCACTTCCTACCTACACTCACCTTTATTAGCTTCATCCCTGCCTCCTTGATCTGTCCGTCTTCTCTCCCACCTATCTGCTCCACTATCCACCTTCTATCAGCACCCACCCTCTATTTATTTCAGAGTCCCCTTCTCCTCCCCTATTTCTGAAGAAGGGTCCAGACCTGAAACGTCACCTTTCCTACTCCTCTGATGCTGCTTGGCCTGCTGTGTTCATCCAGCTCTACGCCTTGTTATCTTAGCTAAAGAATGTAACTCCATTACAGAGATACTATCTGGATGTTACAGACAAGCAAGGGAAGTAGCTTTATGTTGCAGGCAGGTTGTTGAGCAGCAATCCGAACGAAGAATGTGGAGGATACTGTGTCCGAGTGTGAAATCTTCCAAATTCGATGTGAAGCAGGAGCTTGTCATGCTGCAGAAATCATCAACCCAGAAGAGACATTGAATATAACAGACCTGAGCCTTGCTCAGATCAAGCAAACTATAGAATAAGGTACAGATCTCCATTGTTACAAAAAGTAGTGATGGAAGGATGGTCAGAGACCATAAAGGACACACATGTTGCTATTAAAACATATTGGGCATACAGAGATTGACAGCTGAAGATATAATATTGTGCAAAGGAAATTGATTCTTTATCTCAAAGGAGTGGAGAGAGGCATGCTAAAGTGCATCCATGTAAATCACCAAGGAATTGAATCAAGATGGAGGGGGGCAAGAGACATGCTCTACTGGCCAAACCTGAACAATGAAAACAGTGACCACGTCAGTCAGTGCAGCGCTTGTAATGATTAGCGAGTTAAACAAGCCAGAAAGCTGCTGGTGACACATGACCTCCCAGAGAGACTGTGGATGAAGCAGGGAGTAGATCCTTTCACGCTCTCAAACTGATTACCTTATCACAGTAGGCTGCTGTTCTGACTACTAGAAGTGGACCATCTGAATTTGACATTTGTTACTGAGGTTGTCGAATGCCTGAAAGCACAGTTCAGATGCTGTTGGTGCTTATAAATCTCACATTGCAACTAAGTTCTGCATCATTGAGATGGTAAAGACTTAAAAATTGTTGAATGCTGGCAAAAGTATCCAACACCTTTGAAACTTCCAAGGGTGTTGTGGGAGGAGGGGAACATCACCTCGTTGTCTGTCATGCGAGTATGATGATGGACTTTACGGACTGCAGTGAAAAGAGGAATGGTTGATGTTGGTCTGGGATGGGAATGGGGTTAGAGCACAGTGGTCACTCCTTATTTATGTAATATGTCAGTTGCCTCCCAATTCCTTGCCAACCTGCCAGCAGTGGAGAGGATGGCAGACAATCCCACCTCTTACCCAGAGACAAATTGAACCATTTAAGTGGCTATTAATTGCCTCTTTCTGCTGCCACTGGCATTCTTCCAGTTCTGTGAAATTACCATGTAAATCCTAGTATCTTCTGGCTGGCAGGAGAGGGTGAATGTTGATGGAGGGACCTATCTTGGAATCTTTAGGCCTATGCAAGAGCCCCTAGTGGCAATGAGAAGGTACTGTATCATCCTTCTATAGTGTCTTCTTTTTCCAGGTGCAGTCCAGCTGGTGGCACTGTGGACCTCCAATTGTCAAACAGCTTGCAGGACGGCTGATTAGCCTTAACTGCAATGACTGCCCAGTGGCAACCAATCACCCCGCGTCCAGCTGTAAAATGTGGCCATGGGTTCAGTAAATCACTGAAATATACTTCCCCTGTTCCACCCTGCTTTCAGGCCTGTTGATGGGACCCCTGTCAGATCAACAAAATTCAGCCTGACATCACCACTAGTCCAAATGACAACTCCAATCTTTTTCCATAATTTTTACATTTCATCCAAACTCTAGTTCCCTGGTTTGCTTAATTGCAAGGCCCCCCCCAAATCCTTCTAGACTCCCCACGCTCTCAGTTCTAGACTCTGCCCCCTGTCTCCTCCAGCTCTTTCCTGGGCCAGCTCTCCCCACTTTCTCCCAGCCGAGGTCCGTGCTGTGCTGATCACAGTGCCCAGTATGTAAGTCTGACAAGTCAGAATTAAAATAGCAAACCTGATGCAAATGCAGTGAACAAAAACAATGGCACTACCAGCACTCTCTTTAATCAGTGATATGTCCATTGTAAAGGCCTCTTCAGGCAGCTTCTGTGCTATCAATGACACCAAGTTTTCATCATGTTACAGGATTGGCTCTGCCTATACACACTGCCTATGGCAGAAAGGTAAGTCAGAGAACAGCAAGTTTCTGATGGTCGCTAACTTTGTAAAAGAATATTCAATGATTTTACGATGGAATATAAGTTTGCGCTTAAGGGTTTCTGCTATTGAGTTTCAAAACAAGGAGCTGCAAATTATGAAGTGATGGCGTTAGTTAAATACTATGGCCTAAGTTGTTTCCTCCCACCTTTCCCAAACAAGAATAGCATTGGTAAGGGATAGAGTCAGACAGACACTTTGCCCTCAGGATCATTGGGGACGTGACATTGTAAGCAGAACAAAGAGAAGAAATTAAAATTGAAATTGTAGCTAAAAAATGCCATTCTTTTTTTGTGATGATCGCTTGTGTGGTGTGAAGGCAGTTAACTAAATTCCACTGACTAAGGTTTAATGACAAAGGAAGATGCCATTGCTCCTTCTACAATAATGTAGTGTGGAAAGTCTGTGCCATTGCAAATGACAGGATTAGAGGGACATAGGTATCATTAGCACTTTGAACCTGGTAATACAAGCCAGCTCTAGTATTAGATAAAGAAGTCCAGTATTTTTCTAATAGTCACCACCATTTTGTTGTCACTGGAGGGCAGCAGAAAATCCTATCTTCCCAAGTCATTGTAATGCAGTCTTTTGACACTATATTACATCCTGCCATGGCCAAATGCGCGTAGAATGCAGACAATGTCTGAGATACAATACGCAACTCCAGAATCAAAGGCACAATTGTAACACCTTTAAGAAACTATATGCTGAATTTGCTTTGTTCAATGGGTGAAGCAGTCTACCGAATGAAAAAAGAACAGGCTTTCATGAAAAAGTATCTGAACACTGATCTTTTGTCCAGAGTCGTCATGTCACCAGCAATTTTATTGAAGCATTCTAATAACAATATAAAAATCTTGTTCCATCAAAATGAGAGATTATTTAGCAACTAAATGTTAAACTTGAAATATGTAATGATTTAGG